GAATTGATGAATTAAATTTTGCATGATGATTTGAATTTTAATTTAAATTCAATTACCACGATTACTAGTAGAAATTATTATTAACAAACAAAATTAGAATTATTCACTATTACCCACTATCAATTTTTTCTTTATTTAAAAAATTTTATTTTATATTGTACCGTTATTCCCGATTGATCACTATGCGCATTTTAATTTATAGATATAAAACGATCCCTTACATTTAAATAATCAATAATTGATTTTCACGTAAAATGGCATTTAGAATATCTTAATACAATAACAGTTTCAATTTAGACGAAAATATCATAGAAATTTATAATTTAGTTTTAGTTTATAAAAATATATCAATTTTACTATCGTAATAAATTGTAATAAAGGCGTGATAAAACGATAAAAATAGTAAAGATATATCAATTTTTTATCGTAATAAATTATTACGATGTTATAAATTAGTAATAAAAGTTAAAAAATTGTTCATTTATTCATCGTTGTATTCGATAAGTCAGATTTGGCAATTGGTAGAAAACGTACGTTTTCGTCAAACTTCGTGACAGTGGCAGCGATCTTCCACATACATACGATGCGATAGAGCGATCACATCTCAACGAACTCACGTGTAGAGAAGTTCGTTGATATTTTGACTAAATTTTTATAATATCGAGAACATTTTTTTAATTATTTATTGTGAATAATGAAATAAAATTTATTTAATACATTAGTGTCGTATATTATTTTATTTTTTAATTAATATTTACTTATCGCTTCATTTATTTAATCATCTGTACATTCATTTATTTAAACATTTATTTTATAATGTATTTCTTTATATATAATTTTCACTCATTTATTTATTCATTTATTCTTTTACCTATTTATTTCTTCTTTTCTTTTTAATTTATAGTTTATTATTTTAATATATATATTTTTATTTATTCTTTCATCTATTCATTTCTAAATTCATTCCTTGATTTATTCTTTAACTTCTACTCATTTAATTATTTTTTTATCTATTCTATATTTATTTTTTGATTTATTTTTTAATTTATAATTGAATGTGAGTCTCGATATAATTACCACCTCGCTGGTGAGACCCGATAATTGGTTTCTAATTCTTTTTTTCAAAATTTTGTCCACGTCAAAAAGAAAATATTTATTTCGTTAAAAAGTTTCTAAAATATTTTAAATTTAAAAATATTTCATCATTTATTATGATGGAAATCAATGACAAGCCAAGAACTACGTATATATGCAGTCCAATGTAAACTTTTCGCGATTAATTATTTTTTTCAATCATTACATCGGATTGTGCATGTAAAATTTGTAGAATATTTTGAACTCTTTTTACTCACGTATTGCAATGCACAAGCATTGTAATTCTTGATATAAATTAATTATATAATTTCTTTTTTTTCGTTTTAAATGAAATGAGAATATATTTGTTACGCGTTATAAATTTAAGATTTACATTATTATTAATAATAAGTAATAATAATAAGTAAATTAAGATAGATGAAAATAATATCAAGATATAAATTAAGCCTCGTTGTTGTCACAACGTGGGATTAATTGTTATTTTAAAGCGATAAATTCCTATTGTAAAATATTAATTTAAACAATCATTTCATTCCGAATTAATTTTTCTTTTCAGATTTATTTAATTTTTATTTCTTTTTCTTTCTAATTTTTTTCATAATTTATTTAACATTAATTATTAACTATAATTCATCTCGATTATCAATTATTTATATTTTATATTTTTCTAATTCATTTTAATATTCATTTAATTATTAATTTTAATGTTTCGTATTCAATTTATTTATGCGTTCTTAATATATTTAATTTTGTTGCATTTAATTTTTTAACGTTAGATGAGTCTTGATGCGTAGTCACCACTCTCCTCGTGGTGAGACCACGATTTGATAATTGATATCGATTTACATAGATTATTCTTTAAAAAATTTTCGAAGGAAATTTTCCAAAGATAAATTTTTAAAAATCGATACCAAACAGTAAGAACTACGCAGTACCTACGATCCTAGAAAATTGTGCCAATTTTCTTTTGGATATTTTGGTCGGCTAGACTGGACTGCAGGTACCACTTTATTAAACCCCTATCGGAGGTATCGTTGGATCATCGTAGGATCATCGTGGGATGCATGCGTCTTAGTTTTAAGTTAAGTTGAGTTAAGATTATAAGATACATAGATTTAGTTTAAGTAATTGCGAGCGCATTTCGTACAAAAATTACACTCTCCAATTTCGAACGAAAAATAAAATTCTCTATATTTCTTAATTTATCGATTTTATATAGCTAGTTGGTATTAATTCTTCTTTTTTTTTATTAATTATTCTCCAAATCTAATTCGAGTCAATGTCCATCAATCGTCACACAACGATTGCAAGAATTCATCGGGCTGATGCTCTATTTCTGATGGCCAATCGAAGGTCTGCGCTCTTATCGATTGGTACTTTTTGATACCAATTGATCTGAGAGGTCTTGTATGTCGAATGCGGTCTTCTATAAATCGGTCTCGGTGGTTGTAGGATGACTTCCAGTTCCTTCCTGCGTGTCGTTGGGAAGACGTCTTAGTAATCCGATGGTCTTGTAACGACTTCTAGTTCCTTCCTGTGGTCATAGTGGACATCTTGCACTCGACTACATGCCAATGTTGTAACTCTCTGCTGGTCAATATGAATATCATTCGATGAGTCAAATAAGTCGATTAATATAAGCTGCGATGAAAATAGTGGTGACTCGAATTGATTGCTTTGGGGCTCTCATACTTATTTCTTATTAATATTTAAATTAATTAATATTTAAATATGATTTTAATTTCATTTAACATTTTGTTGAATAATATTCTTAATTACAAACAAATAATTCTTTTTGTGTCCCGACGTTTTTTATCAATGTAAAACAACAGTAAAGTAAAACAAAAATTACGATCATAAATTCCGTTTGTTTTAATTTTCTAACGAAAAGAGAAAAATAAATATTTTAACCTGATCCATGTTTCATCCGAGCTTTCTACTGCCATTATATTTTAGATACGTATTGTACCGAAGAACCAAAAGTTCCTATATCTAGTAACTAAATTTCTTGCTTCTTTTCTTTCTTTATTTCTTACGTTTATAAGATGATAGAACAGAATAGCCTTAAAGTTAACGCTCGTGCTTCTCCATAACATGTTAAAGTTGCTTGTGCACATTCACAATGTGCTGTGACATTGGAGGCATATCGGATGATTTTTTTTCTTAATAATAAAAAGAAAAAAAATATTGATGTATTTATTATTAAAAAATTATAAAAGTCATTGACGTTAATATTTGTCTTATTCCAATAATATATATATATATATATAGAGAGAGAGAGAGAGATATTTAATTTTTAATTTTATGATTTTAGTAAAAACTTACACGACATTTAACAACACTAGAGTCAAAACTTCTTTCACCACTTCACCACAAGAAAACACAAAATAGATTCTGAAATGAAACGAGTGTTGTCATTTCATTACAAATTGTTATGGCATTTATTAATGGCAATTGATATAAATTCACACGATATTACCTTGGATTTTTTTCCTCGACTTTATCTTCTACAGAAAATTGTTAATTAGTTGTGCCCGTAATAAGTTTACATATGCTTCGGTCCATAAATTTTCTTTTTTCACCAGATTCTTTACTCATTGCATCATAGTATTTGTTTTTACAACACAAACTACGAGATTAGACCATTATAAATTCTACATTGTCCAATATTTACACATTGTCAATTTCTACCTAATATAATTAAGTAATATTATTCTTAATTAATAATATAAAGAATTAATCTTATTATGGAACGAAATATATTTAAAATAGATTATTATTATTATTATTACGAATGTTTGTATCAATATATTTAAATACAAATATTATTATGAATTTAAATATTTCTGCATTATTATAATTCTTCTAATTATATCGTTTTAAAAAGAATAATCTTGAAAATAACGAAATTATGAAAATTAATATGGATAGAAACTATATGTCAGATTTATATTTATTTATGTTTCAAAATTCTATGATATAAACAATTGTTAATTTTATAATGTAAAATTGGATAAAATGTTCCAGAAAAATGGTTAAATTATTTACACTTTCACATCTTCGAATTAAACAAATAAAGAAAACTAAAATACTTTATTAAGCAGTTATTAAAATATTTATTATTTCAAACCATCGATTTTCTTTTTTTATTTCTTTTCATTGTCAAATTTTCAACTTTCATATAGGTGACGTATTTCATTCGTATATAATCATTAAGGTTACGTATTATTTCGTATTATTCATAGCAATGAATCTTGAAATTATCTATTAAATTTATTTATATTTCTATAATTTATATTTTATATTGTATTTTTAAGTATATTGTTAATATATGTGTGTATATATATTTAATATTTAAATTTTCATAATATCGAGAATATTTTTTAATCATTTATTGTGAATAATTAATTTAAGTTTAATTTAAGTTTATTAATTTAAGCTTATTATTTTAATATATATTTTGTTTTTTTATTCATTTATTCTTTCATCTATTCTTTTTTAAATTTATTTCTTGATTTATTCTTTAACTTATATTCATTTATTTGTTTTAATTATTCTACATTTATGTTTTGATTTATTTTTTAATTTATAGTTGAATGTGAGTCTCGATATAATTACCACCTCGCTGGTGAGACCGAATAATTGGTTTCTAATTCTTTTTTTCAAAATTTTTTTCACGTCAAAAAGAAAATATTCATTTCGTTAAAATGTTTCTAAAATATTTTACTTAACTTAAAAATATTTCATCATTTATTATGATGGAAATCGATGGTAAACCAAGAACTACGCATATATGCACTCCAATTTAAACCTTACACGATTAATTATTTTTCTCAATCCTTACACTGAATTACATATAAAATTTGTAGAATATTTTTAACTCTCTCTTACTAAGCATTGCAATTCCTGATAAAATTAATTATATAATTTTTCTTTTTTTCGCTTTAAATGAAATGAAAGTATTTCTGTTATGCGTTATAAATTTAAGATTTACATTACTATTAATTATAATAAATAAATTAAGATAATTAAAAATAATATTAATATTTTTTTCGGTGAATGAAAGTATTTGTAATAAATGTTATAGTAAGTAGAAAATTTATAGTTGAATTAATTTATAGTTGAATATATAGATCAATATTTGCTATTCATATATTCATTTTAGTTGAGTTTTAAAAAAAATATTAAAAATCTTTAATCATTTTTTTATTTTTAGATACAATGAAATAATATTTAGTGAATTGCACGATTACTTCTTTTTGAAAAGAATTATAATTTTTATTAGATATAAAGTATTATAATTTTTATAGAAAAAGTTTTCTTCTCCTTAATTAAAATTTTTTATCCAATATTTCTTTATTTTTCGAGATATTGCAATCTAGAAAAATCTTAAAAAGGTCATCATAAAAAAAGAATTGAAATATAAGTTTTTATATTTTTAAGTGCTAGATATGATATGATTTTTTAACTAACAAGAATAAGAGTAATCTAGTTAATTTTGATTTTTATAAATTATTTATAAAAAAAATTCGATTGATGATATTCCCCCGTATACGCACTTTCACGATCAATCTCTCTTACTTTTTCTCTAATATCTTTTGCATATAGTTTTACATTTGCTTTCAATCCGTCATGGATAAGTTAGATACACGCAATATATCCAGTCCAACAACATATCACATTGCATCATGTTTAACGAATATCGCCGATATCATTATCCATTGTTTTCTCGTGGATATGAAATAATGATAATCGCAAAAATATTCATCATAAAACATAAAAAAAGAGAAAAAGTGCAAATAATAATAAATCATCCTTAAACGATTCTGACAAAAAGATTGAAATATCATTGATTATTTTTTAATATGAAGAAATTTAAACCTGATATACGGTACTATATATTTTCTTTAGATTAATATGTAATATTAGGATTATGATTATATATATATGCTTGTAGCCAGATATATTAAATACTTTCAGAACTAAAAATAATTAATAATATAATATATTTCTCATTTTATTTATCCAATGTTTTTTATTAAATTAATTGTATAAAAAGAATAAGGAATTGATATAAACAATTTGATAGATATAAAAATAAATTTAAAAAATTTATTATATTATATATTATATATATAAAATAACAATATTTTATTATAAATAATATTATATATTATATATAATGAAATTGTATTGATATTTTAGTTATTAATGGAACCAAAATTATACAAGGAAAATTAGAAATTAAAAATTATTTTCATCATCCACAATCTATTTTATTTTGCATCAAATTGATATATTTTAAGAAAATGCTATTTAAATTTTTGTAAATCATTTTTATGTGATCATATACCGATTGATATTAAATTAAAATAAAAACATTACTAAATTTTTAGGCATTATTAATCATCCATTAATTACAATTTTATAAATTACAAGTATTGTTAATAATAACAAAAAAAATTTCGATTTGTTATATTATAATTTTCAATAATATGGCAAAAATCATAAATACAATTAATCGATATATCTTATTTTATCATATAATTTTGATATGCAGACAGAAATTATTTCTTTTGATACCACTAAAAAAGGAGAAAAAATAATTTAATGATTGAAATTTCTTTGCTAAAAAAAAGTAGTTAAAAAAATTAAAAATCACAACTTTTCTTAACAATTTATTATATTATTAATAAATAAATTTAAATTAAAAAAGAAAATAAGTATCGAAATAATAAAATTCATATTAATATTCATATTATTATGAAAATTTTAATAAAAAATACTATATAATTTTAGAAAAATAGCAAACGAAATTAATTTAAAAAACAATCGTTTAAATTATGATCTATAACGTATTTAAAATATTAAAATATAATGCAATTTAAACAGAATTAAATTATTTTTAAATCATCTATTATATATAAAATGTAAATCTTTTGTAACAGTAAAATCTAATTTAATCATATTCATAATAGAATTAATTCCATAATAGAAAATAAAATGTATTTAATAAAATTTATTAAATACATAATTACATAATTCTCTACATTAATACAATTATGATCATATTAAAACGATTTTCTAATGATATTCTGATTTTGTTATATTTTAATGTGCTGAGTATGAATATGCAAATTTTTTTTCAAAATCCATAGTTTTTAAAAGAATCTATTTTAAAAATATTTTTTATTTTTGAAAGTATTTTGCATTTTTATAATAATAGATATTCACTTTCTCCTAAAGAAAAAAATTGATGATAATGAAAATTCACAAGAAATTTTCTCGAACAAAACGATATAAGTTAGATAGTTATCGCAATTATAAGTATTACGATTAAATAATGATCAAAAGTAAAAGAATTTTCGAAAATACATTCATTTTTTTGATATTTTTCAATTTGTTTTATAGGTTTGTATATCACAAATAAATTGATAATTATTCGATTTTTTTTCGTTTCTTTCTGGAATTATTAATTCTTCGTCATTTATATCTGAATACAATCATTCAATTATTTTATAATTCAATGCCAATCATTTGCACATCGATTATTAAGTTTCATTGGAATATATCCTTGACTCGTAAACATTTTTCTATTTATTTTTTTATGACAATTATTATTATCATTCTTCTTTTTTGTTATTCATTCTATTTGATCAATCAATTCGTTATTTTTTTCAAACTTATCAAGAAAACGTATCACAAAACAGAGAATGATCATATTAGATATAAATATTAGATATAATACTTGTTATATTAGATATAATTTGAATTCTCAATCTAAAGAAAATTACAAATGAATTTGATAAAAATAAAAAATATGAATTTAATTTAATATAATAAGATAGAAATTCGATTTAATTTTAAACTAATAAATAAAGATAGGAAGCGATAGAAAATACATTAAAAGAAACATTAAAAATAAACAAAATGCAAAACTTTTTAAACTTTCTTCAAAATTTTTTTATTTTATTTATTACTTAATTTTATTTATTACTTAATTCAAAATCAATATAAAATATTGATATCAAACTTTTAAAATTTTACATTTTTCATTTTTAAATGGAAAAAGCATGATTTTATTTTTATATATAATTAAATACATTAATTACATTAAATACATTAAAGAAAGAGTAATAATCTCATAATTTGTAAAAGAAATTCATTAATAATGTAATAATGTAAATGTAAATATATATATAATAATATATGTAAAATTCTCTGTTAATCTATTATTGAAAAGATGATTCCAAAAAATTCTTCAGTAAATGAAATATATATATATACTACAATTTTACTTTGCTCTAACAACAATGAATTTATTCGTCATTTTGAAAAAAATCATAAACGATCACGGAATAGGTTTTGATTCATTTCAAGAAATCTTTGTCATATAAAAGAAATGATTTGCTTTCATATCATGATATCGGTTAAAATATTCAATAAATTATTGTTTTTAATCGGCACTGCTATTCTATGAGAAGTTGTTTCAAAAAAATATTCATTTTATCTAGCATCAAGAAATTTTGAGGTGATTCATAATATCTTTCACATTAAAAACATAGATATATCACTAGATGATTTTTAGAATCTGTTGGTATTTGCTATCTGCAACATTTATGTGATAACGAGCCACAATATATATTTTATACATAAGGTCATTTAGATTTATGCACCGGGAGTGCGATATATACCATGAGACATTACTATAAAACAAATTCTTCGTGTATTTATAGAATTATTTCTCCAATGAAAAATTTCAATTTTTGAGGATATTTCTACATCTATAGTTTATCATTATTTTTAGACTAAATATGTGTCCTATATTTTGGAAAATATTGATTATTATTATTATTATAATATTTTAAATCAACCGTAAAGTATTGTAATGCTTGAATTAAAGGATCGAATATATCTTGTGATTAATCTGATAACTAAGTTATTTTTGAGACTTATTTAAAATCGAAATGTTATGTCTTTTGAATTGAAGAA